GCAGTCCTCCCACACCTGCGGTTGGGACCCCTTCCCACTTGGCAGGCTACTTCTTCTGGTCAAAGACTCCCCTGCCTCTAGGAGGGTATCAGGGATTGCTGCCATCACAACCACCAGGAAAAGCTGGCTTTCCTCTCTGGGCTCCTAAATCTTTGGCATAGGGAACTTCCCCCTAAATAAAATATAAACCACCCAGGTGTTCCCATGCTGTTAGCATGCCCCGTTTCTGCCCCTCTTGTGGTTGTCCAAATCTTTAAGGAGTAGAAGATGCTTTTGCAGACTACCACCTCCCCTCTGGTCAGAATAGGTTGTCTTAAACTTGACCGCCCAACCCACCTTTCCAGCTGCACCCTCAACCCAGTTACTGAGCTCCTGGGTAAGATGGGTTCCAGAACTAGAGGCTGGCATCCCTGACCTCTGTTAGGAGTCCCAAGAGCCCAATGCCTGTGTGCCTGAGGTGTGGTAGGGCATGGCATGGGTAGATAAGCAACTGATGAGCTCTCACCTTGACTTTCCCAAGGCCAGAGCATCTTTATACACACCCTGGGGGACCACAGGCCCCTGAGGAGCAAGAGTGGAGGCAGGGAAGTCCTTCCTGGTTGTTCTGCTTCCCCAGGGCCTCTGATGGGAACCTGGGAGGTGTCTCTGGCTTGTGACAACCTCCCCTCTCCCCCAGCTCTATTTTAGGCCCAGGAGAGGTGAGAAGGCAATTTCCCAGGAGGCGCTGACATCAATGCTTGGAACGAGGTGACTATCCCCCCCCAACCACCTGCCATTCCAGCCCCAGATGCTCAGCAAGACTGAGCAAATTCTTTCTTCATTCTGGAGTTATTTTGAAAAACCTCCTCCAGGATGTAGGGAAAAGGAGGTTCTGGGAATGATGGCCTACTATGTGGTATTCCCTAGAAACTCATGACTGGTAACCCAGGATGGAAAGATGATCCTCTCCATTGTATGGATAGGGAAACTGAGGCTCTGGGACTACATGAGCTTCTTCAAATCACAGGGTCACTCAGTGAAAGATATATTCAAAATGCTAGGGCTCCAGTCCCTTCTGGCCAGTCCAATCCCACCTCCACCTCTACCTCTATTTGGGACTAGAGGGGACTGGTACATCTGGTTCCTTACCCTCCACCTATTTGGCACTCCAGATACCAAAGTGACTGTCCTGCCACTGTGCCATGCCATGTCCCAGGGCCACATCAGTAAGCCCTGACTCTCCAGGGCTGGTGAGGCTTGTTTCATGGTGCTGGGGCTGGAAGAATCCAAGCCTTCCATTTATTCAAGACCACATAGCAAGCCTAGACCTGAGGTCCAGCTCTTTTCAACTACCAGCTACCACATCTGTGGTCCTGGTGCCCTTGGCTTCCTGTTGGGGTGAACTTCCCAGCCCTGGGGTGACTTTTGAGGCACCTGGCCAAACAGGAAGCTTGCTTCAATTTCCCTTTCCCATTTTCCCTCCTAAGGTTGGGGGCTGTCTTCCAACTAGCCACCTCCATCACACAGGGACTCACAAGGGTGGGATTGCATTCCTCATCAGACCTGAACAAAAGGGCTGTTTGCGCCTTAGGTTGGGGAAGGCTTGTGACCGGTTCCTTTGGTCCCTGTGGCCATCACTTGAGAATGATGGCCTCTGTTTCTGCCATCCTGATGGCACCCTTGGGGGTCACCTTTGCTGTGTGGCTCTGCTCAGGGCTTGGGCTCTGATCTCCACCTCCAGTCTTCCCTCAGGAATGACCGTCATCAGGAGGCCTGGGCCTCAGCCCTGCAGCTCTTCCTGCCCTCTGGCTAATTCTTCCCTCATAAGGTCCAAGCTGGAGTAATTTGGAACTCAGACTTTGTCACAGCAACTGCAAGGTGAGGGAGCCCACTGCAGCGGGATGACAGGGATTCCTGGAAGTGGAGGATGGTGCAGCGGGCAACAGCAGGCCCTGGGCTCCTGGTTGGAGGCCCAGCTTCCCCTAGCTAATGAATGTGACCTTGAGCAGGTCCCCCAGCCAGGTTCCTCACAGTGCTGCCCGAGAGGTTAGGCAGCTGAGCCTCACGTGCTTCAAGCAGTGCCTGGCACACGGAAGATTCAACCTGGATCTGGTGTCAAAGGTGCCCAGGAACTAGCTCCCCGACCCTTGTCCAGGACAAAAGGCCCCGTTATGGCTTGGGAGCCTCAGGACCCTTTCTATGCCGTGCACATGCAGACAGTAGGCCTGATGTGATCATGGTGAGGAGTGGGGAGCACAGGGAGTGCCACAGTGCCACCACTCCAAGAGACACCTCATGCTCTTCCTCCCTCTCCTGGAATCTATGGAGCTCTCAGGCTTTGCCCAGGCACCTGGTGCACCAGATCCAAGGCACATCTGTCTTTTCAAAGGCTTGTGGGGCACAAATGCCCCTTCCTCACACAAGAGATCCTCCAAGCTCTGGAGAGCCAGACCTTGGAAGGTGAGTCTGGGGACAGGGTGTCTTCCAGTGCTCCTTCATCCACAAATTTACCCTGGGGGTGAGGATATAGGTCACAGAGGGACATCACAAGATGGAAGATTAGTGAAGTAAGCTCAATTTAGGAGGGAAAATGCACAGGTGTGTAGGGGGTAATAAGTGAGTTTGCTAATGTGCCAAATACTTCACACAGATGCAGTTTGATTCTTTGACTTCCTAGCGAGTAGGAAGTAATGTTACCTCCACTTCACATTAAGAAAACAGTTTCAGGGGCTGGGGATGTGGCTCAAGCAGTAGCGCGCTCGCCTGGCATGCGTGCGGCCCAGGTTCGATCCTTAGCACCACATACAAAGATGTTGTGCCCGCCGAAAACTAAAAAAAATAAATATTAAAAATCTCTCTCTCTTGCTCTCTCTTTAAAAAAAAAAAAACAGTTTCAGGAGTTTGCCAAAGGTCAGAGTTAAGTAGCAGGACCTGGACTTGGACTTAGGCCCTCATGGCTCCACACTATAGGGGAACATGGAACTTGTGCCTTGAACTGTGGGCATTTGAGGGTGGGACCAGGGCAAACTTGGAAGCTGAACTGCCTATGGCGTTCAGACAAGTGGGCTTACCAGGCTGGATGGGGGACTGAGAGGTGGCAGAGACAAAGAGTGGGTGTGTGGAGTAGGACATTCAGGAGGGAGGAAACAGGACTTGGGACTGACTGGATGTGACTTAGAGGTTGCATTTGGAGAAGCTGGGGAAATGGCACAGAGGGGGCCCTGGGTCTTGTTTTGAGTTGTTCTCAGGTCTGTGCATGTGGCGGTAGGACAGGGAAGTGATTTGGTGGGGTCCTGGCATTTTATTATTGAGAGGACCTTTGAAATCATCTCATCCATGCCCCTCATTTCAAGATGAGGAAACTGAGGCCAGAGTAGTGAGTTTGGGGAGCAGCAAGATCCTGCTTTTGCTCAGCAGAACCACCCTCCTATGAAACTGGAATTCAGAGGGGATGAGAGGAGGGATTACCTATGCAGGTCACACTTGTAGTGAAGTGAAAGGACGGTGAGAAGAGAGAGTGAAGGTCCCGGAGCTAGTGTGGGGAAAGCAGTTAGAGCTGAGGGCTCATCCAGGTCGGGGCTGACTTGAGGGGGACACCTAAGGCCTGGGCTGAATGATGGCCAGGTGGCTGAGTGGGCAGGCAATGGTCAGCAATGGGGCGGGGGTAGACCCAGGCTAAGATGGGTTTGCTAGGACTGAGGTTTCAAAAGGAGGAACTTGACTTTAGCAGGCTATCCAATGACCTTGGAATAGACAATCCCAAGGGCAATGCTTCAGTCAGAACCACCAAGGAAGTTCAGAAGGGGAAGAAAGGCAAGATGGAGGCAGCTTCAGGAAGGAGCCAGAGAACAGGAGGAGGAGCCCTCAAGCTGCCAAGTCAACTCAAGTTATCTTCCAGGATGGACAGGCATTGAGTTTTCAGGCAAAGGAGAGGTGGCGAGTTGAGGAAACCAAGGTGGCTGGAGAGCATAGGGTCAGTGTGACTTGGGGAAGGACGACAGAGTTTCCTTTGAAAGAGAAACAATGAGGGGCTGGGGATGTGGCTCAAGTGGTAGCGCGCTCGCCTGGCATGTGTGCGGCCCGGGTTCGATCCTCAGCACCACATACAAACAAAGATGTTGTGTCCACCGAAAAATAAATAAATACATATCTTTAAAAAAAAATAAAAAAAGAAAGAGAAACAATGAGCAAGATAATGTTGAAGGGGATGTCAGCAAGATGACCCAGGGCCGAATGAGTCAGAGTCAAGGTCATCTTCTGAGAAGGGGTGTCTGGGGAAAGTAAACTTAAAGAGCAGCGGTCTGAACAGTCAAGGAACCACTGAAAGGCCTAACTTTGTCAAGCAGCACCCATAGGTCCTGGGTGTCTCAGGTGTTGGCCGTTCCACTCTAAGCCTGGAAGCCGGTCTGGACAAATGACTGGATACTGTAGCCTGGCGGTTATGGCCTTGGCAGAAATGTCTGAGGTCACCGTGATTGAAATGGGTCAGAGATGAGGCGGGAGAAATGGGCCCTGGTGATGGCAAGGAGGGCATCAGAACCCATGTGATAGGTGTTGAGTGAACAGCGCACAAAGGCATCACCAAAGTCTGAAAAAGAAGAGAATCGGGTGCCATGATGGGGAAGGCAGTGGGGAACGGTCATCTCTGTATGTCACAAAAGGAAAGGGACATTCCTAGTAGGGCCCAGAAGTAAGCCATTATCAGGACCCTGAGGAAGGGGAGAGGATTCAGAGCAGGAATGCCCATTGGGGCAGAGGAGTTTTCTTGGTGGCGGGTGATGGGTATGCCCTCTGCTGGGTAGCAGAGCCAAGTGAGTGCCCAGACGGGAGTAGGAAGAGGCTGAACAAGGATGGGTGCTCCTGTTGCCCTCAGCACCCAGGCTAGGCCACAGGAGGATGGTGACACTCACGTTCTCCACTTGCAGGGGGCCCCATTCTGATATCCAGCTATTTTCTTGGTATCTGCTGGACCCTCACCTCTGCCTTGGGTCACTGAGGACCGAGTCATTGCACTCCATCTCTTTGCTATTTAACAAATTTATTTACATTTCCCAAATCAAGATGAATTGTGAAATTTAACAGGAATGGCATAAAAAGGCCAAACAGGGCCTCTAAGGAGGGCTGCACACAGTTGCTCTATTTCCAAACTAACAACTCAGGTCTTCACCCGCAGCTAGGCCCCCCTTTCTTCCTCTGAAAGGAGACACAGAATAGCACCAGGCTTCAGGGAGCTTCAACATTTAAAGAGACAAACACACAAAGGCAGAAGGGTGAGAAGAACCACAGTACAAATTGTAATAAAAAAAAAAAAAGTGGCCAAAGAATCGATAGCAAACCCATTTCTGTCTCCAGATTAATGGCTTGGCAGTAAGAAATGGGGGGAGGTCCTTGGGGAAGGAGGGAGGGAAGAGGGAGATGCAGAAGTTGGCAGGTGAGACACTGACCCTGGAACAGCAGAACTCCGGGTGGGCAGCTTGAGCTGAGGCTGCAGAGGAGAGCTGAAGGGTCCCCAAAGAGGGCTATGGCCACATCCTGGGCTCAGGGGAAAGGTCAGTGCTGGGCCCGAATAAGTGCATGGGGGAGGGAGCACTGCAGTGCTGCAGCCTGGGCCCCTCCTCTGCTTCATATGTTCCTGAGGATCTGTGTGAGCGTGGGGGGCTGGGGGAGGGGACACGCACAGGCAGGAGAGACCACATGCTTGTGGGAAAGGAGGCTGGGTGGGGGTGGGGAACACCAACAACTAACCCTCTGCTCTGTAAGAGACAAGAGCCTGGAGAGAGCCTGGATGCTGGGCCAGCAGGCCTCCTGCCACCCCAGCTTCTTCATGGTTCCTTCCCTATGCCAGTCTTGCCTCCGCCTCTGGGTGTGGGACTGGCCATGGCTGGAGGTAGAGGCAGGAGAGAGCAGCCCCTAGCCTAAGGCTCTCGGTCCTTCCCCCAAACCTGCAGGCAGGAGGTCTGCTCTGTGGGCTCCACAAGACTGGGCATAGCTACTTACTTGTACCTCAAAGACCAGACCTAGGGCTCCACTCCCCTGGTCTTGGCTGGTCCTGGCCAGGTGTATAACACCAAGCAAGGTAGAACTTAGATCTGTGGCTCTGCGGGCTGGAGCTGGCTGGTTGTGTGAAAACCTAGGGACTCACAGAAGCAGCTCTGGGTGAGGGCTGGGCCTGGGAGACAGGGAGACAAGGCACTTGGAAAGATGAAGGGGCCCAGAACCATCTGGAGCAGCTGGCTCCCATGCTGACTGGCCGAGGATGGGGAAGTGAGGTGGCCTGGCTCCCTGCAGGCCCTCCCACGGGGGAGTGCAAGTGGGCCCGCAGCTGGTTGGGGCCTGTGGGACAGCTAGGGGGCTGGTCAGTCTGCTGGGGTATAGGACCAGGGGCTGTACACTCAGAATCCTCAGGTCCCAGGAGCCATTCTCTCCCAGGCCAGGGGGGTTGTGTGGTCCAAAACTCAACTGGTCTGTCTGTGGACTGCCAGGGTAAGGGGTCTGGGAGGGAGCAGCAGGCCTGTGTGTGGCAAAAGGGCTGGAGGGAGGCTCGGGGCTTAGATTCACAGCTGGGAAGAGGAAGGGAGAGAAGATGCCTGCTATCAGCTGTCCTGGGGCCACAGGGGCTGGCGGCTCCAGATACAAGAAATGAGGCATTTGGCCTCTTCTCAGTGATGCTGCTGGGGAACTGAATCTTCCGCTTGTGACCAACAGATGCCAGGTCCAGGCCAGAGGAGAGGTCCATAAAATCAGAGCTGGGCAGGAGGTGCTGGTAAGTGGGGATCCTGGAAACTGGTGTTCTTGAAGGGTCCACAAGCACATCAATTGGTCCCCCTAGCTCCTGGCAACTTGCTAGTGGTCCAGGTACCTGGCTGGTCCCTGCAGGCTCAGATGATGCTTCCACGTTGTCCACCATTCCATCCTGCTCTGGGGTACCTGGGGCCTGGCAGTCATCTTCTTTCCTCATCCCAGGAGATGCTACCCTGGGAGGGGAGGGTTGGCTTGGGGACAAAGTGTCAGGATGGAGAGCGTCACATTCAGAAGCTGTGGAATCTGACTGCCTGTGGGGACAGAAATACCCAGTGAGCGCAGGTTCAGCTCCAGAACAGGCAGCAAGATGGGAACCTCTTGGGCTGGGGCTGAGGACAGGGCAAGTGGCCTCTTCTGGGTTTACTGCTGAAGAGAGCTGCCCCTCTGGGAAAGGCCTCTCTTGGTCTGATACTGTGGAGCAGCCAATGCTGTGTGCTCTTCTTGGCTTTGTGGCCTGTGGTTGGGGCTGGCCAGGGGAACAGGGTAGAGGCTCTTCTACTGAATGACTTCATAGAGGAGGCTGTGCCCTTTGGTAGGTGCAGACAGTAGCAGAACCTGGCTGTCCAAGCTGAACCTGGGTGAGAAGTGAAGCCACAGCTCTAGGTGGGAGACGGTCTACCCTTGGTGGGTAGCTGGAGAAGCTGGGCTCAATGAGTCTGGGAATCTCCACCAAACCCCAGGCAATCCTTCTTTCTGAGAGTAACTTCCACAGAGGGAGAAGGACCTTGCTCACTACCCTCCAGAGGGACTCAGGAACTATTTCCACTTCTAGCTAACCAGAACTGCTCACTCTCTACTGTGCCAATGGCCACCCCTAAAACAAATAGGATAGAGGATGGTGGAAAGGTGAGGAAAATATTATAGACTGGTCCTGCCAACCTGAGGGTTCCTTCCCAGCTGGGGAGGGCAACAGAAGAGAGAAAATGCACGTGTGTCTGCAGCTATGGCACTCACCTGGGGAGGCTGGCCTGGGAGGGGACTTCTATAAAGCTGTGGCTGAGCTGGGAGATGATCCGATCAACTTCTGCATATGAATGGGCTTCTAGGGCAAAGGCTTGGTGCTGGGCACTCTGAAGATGCTGTCCAGGGCAAGAGATGGTAGAGGGCATTAGACAAGTTTGGAATGGGACGAGAGGAACTTCCAGCCAGCCTCAGTGGAGGACATGCAAGGTGGAGACTGCAGGCTGGGCTCTCTCAGAACAATGTGGGGAATGGGGAAGCGGCTCACCACATGCAGATCCTCAAAGGCCCCCCGGCAGCACTCGCAGTAGCCCTTCCTCCTCCTGGGCATGGTGCACACAGCTGACTGAACGCTTGGCTCTTGGTCCTTCAGTTCTCTGTGAAAGATATAGGGTGGGGGAAAAGAGGTCACTCCTAGGGTCCCCAGAGGAGGAGCTGCTGCTCAGGGCCTAGAGCTCAGGCGAGGGAGGGGAAGGACCAAGATGGCCAAGGGGCCAAGCAGGCACAATGGGCAGGTTTGTCCTACCCTCGGTGCTAGTTGTCCAAGGGTGGCAGGAGAGGCAACAAGGAAGGTGAAGCCTCTGTGTGGGTAGCCTCTCTCTCTCTCTCCTTTTATTTGGGGGTACTGGGGATTGAACTCGGGCACTCAACCACTGAGCCACATCCCCAGCCCTATTTTGTATTTTATTTAGAAACAGGGTCTCACTGAGTTGCTTACTGCCTCACTTTTGCTGAGGCTGGCTTTGAATTTGCAATCTTCCTGCCTCAGTCTCCCAAGCTCCTGGGATTACAGGCGTGTACCACTGCGCCCAGGTGTGCAGCCTCTCTTATCTGTCTTCTCCACACCCACATCTCTGAAACCACAGGTGAGAATAAGTAGGGACAGCAGTGGCCACCACTAGAATAGTTTGTAGGAAAAATGAAAAAAAAAAAAGAAATTCAAACACACACACACACACCACACCCTGATGTCCTATCTGACCCAATCCTCTGCCCAGGGAGATAACCAAAGTTTCAATGCCTCACTGTCTTCCCTTTATGGCCTCCCAGCTCCTCTGCAACCCCCAGGTCATACCAAGCTTAGCTACCCTGCTTTGCCTGGGCCACCTCCTAACTGGCTCTCCTGGTATCCCTTGTACCTTCCAGGAAAAGAATAAAGACATTTGGGACTTACCCTCAGGCCATTCTCTCCCAGTTCCTGCCTCCATCTACTGCCACATCCCCTCCCATTTGCACTATGTCCTGACCCCCGGCCTCTGTCTATGAGAAGCTCACAGGCTGTCTATGATCCCAGGAGCTTTTGGGCTGAGAGAGCCCATGAACTGGCCCTTGGCTCAGAAGTTAGAGAGCATCTGAGAAGACAGCTAGTCCACCACATGAGCTGAATTCTTTCTCCACTTTGGTCAGTGAAGTTCAAACTCTCTGTGGAGTATGAACATAAACAAGGCTATAAGCCACCATGGCCATACAATGTAGAGAGTCCCTTTGGTCTCATCCCTAGTTATTCCTTGTGTTTAGCCTAACAGGACTCAAACTTTGATGTGCACTGATATCACCTAGAAACTTCTAGGAATGCAGCTTTTGGGGCTCAATGATCAGAGATTTTGATTCTATAGTTGTGGACTTGAGTCTAGAAACCATCTATCTCATATACACATACATATGTGATCAGAGATATTAAAAACACCCATGTTTTTTGTCGTATTAGGGGTTAAATCCAGGGGTCATCTACCACTGGGCTACATCCCTAGGCCTTTTTATTTTAAGACAGGGTCTTATAAAATTGCCCAGGCCAATCTCAAACTTGTGATCCTCCTGCCTTAGTCTTTGGAGTCACTGGCAAGTGCCACAGGCATATGCTACCACTCCCAGAGAGAACCCGCACTTTTCAATGGCACCATAGGGGCACTCTCATAATGGTGGTCTACAGATCTGAGTTTGAGAAACCAGTCTATTGCCCTCTGGACACTTAAGTTAAATTCCTTAGTAGAGATGAAGAACACCAAATAAAATGGATGAATACTCCCAGTGCCTCTCTTCTCTGGGCTAAGTTCCCAGAATAGATTTTGCCAAAGGAGCAAACAGATGGCCATTCCCAAATCTGACCAGCAGGGCCCTGAGGGGGAGGACTTTGGCCTGTCACCAGTCCTTGGTACTCAGGAATCAAAAAGACCTACCTGGTACAGTGTGAGCTGCCCGGGGTTGTCAGGGTCTCAAAGGGACTTGCATCTTTGGGTCCCAGAAAAGAAATTTCAGGAAAGGATTTAAACTGATGGTGGAAAGGACGAAACTTCCTGAAACACAAAAAACTTCCACTTTGACTATAGTGGGGGAGGGAGACGATGAGGAAGGGGGCTAGCCTCTCTACAGAATTCTAATCCTGACATTTTCTAAGTTCTAAAATAGAACTCATACCAGCCTTTCTAGGTAAAATTAGTACCATTAACTATGCTGTCCCTGTCTTCCTTTTCTTCTCTTTGTGGTACTGAGGATTGAAATTAGGACCTTGTATATGCTAGGCAAGTGCTCTACCGCTGAGCTGCCTCCCCAGCTGTTTGTACTTTGACAGTGTCTTGCCAAGTTGTCCAGGCTGGCCTCGAACTTAACAATCCTCTTGCCTCCCTCTCTAGAGTAGCTGGGATTGTGTGCAATGCCTGGCATTCCTCTACTTTCCAAATGTGTACATACTCATGCTTGTTTGAATCTTATAAGCACCCTTTGGGCTGAATGGAATAAGTGGTCTTATCCAATTTGACAGAAGAAAGGAAACCCAAAAGGCTCTGTGACTTGCTCAAGGGCTCATGATTAGTAAGTGGCCAAGACCAGACTACAAACATCCACTACAGATTCCTGGGCTGGTTCTTCCCATTCTGCCTCTTGACCCTACAACTTTCACGGACTTTAACCTGGCAGAACCTACATGGAAGAATGTTTAAGTCACAGCAGTGATTTTTCCATTCTGTGAAGGGAAGTGTTTTTTGCACTAGGAGGGTCCTTGGCACCATTTGAGGGCTGGTGTTCTGAACAAAAAAAGAGGTGCAAATGAAGATTCTGGATAGCCAGACCTATACGGAGGGTTCTGGCAGTTTGCCTGAAGTTGAAGACATTTAGGAAACTTACAGAGCCAGAACCGATTTGTGTGTACTCTGCAAACCCTGCTGACTGAGGTCACTGCCGGGCGCGGGCGCGCTGTGCTTGGTTGGAGTAGCCCATGCTCTGGTTGTGGTGGTGGTGGGGAGAGTGCCTGGGCCTCAGAAGGGAATTAACAAATAAGTCTTTTTGGATCCTTAAGCAGAATGGGTACTTGCAATCCTGGCACCTCTCTTTCTCTTTAACAACACTTTCTGCTTAGGAGGTTTCATGTTGGTCAGGCAAACAGGCTTTGAAAAGCTACTGCTTCAGAAGAGCACATGAAAAGAATCACCAGAAACTTCAGTTCTGCTTGAATTTCTTCTCTGGTCTGTGATGCTGGGAACACACAAGCTATGTAACCCCTCTGGTGACAGTGATATGACCTGTGCCTGCCATGTACAGTACCAGTACCAAGGCAGCGGCAGTATCTCAGACACTGCATCTGAGTTCCTTGTGTTTATCTTGTGGTGCAGGGGCTGGGCGCTGAAGAGCACATGCTTCACTCCACTAGAACCGGAGGGAGTGCCTTCTGTGTGCCTTTGGGCCACCAAAGCCAATCCTACTGTCTGCAGACACTAAGAAGGGAATGTAGGCCCATTGAGAAGATGGGCTTGGAGCTCTGGGGGTGCCCTGCTTGAGGCTAAAGGACCCAGAAAGTTCTGGTCTGAGTAGTCCCTGTTGTGCACAAATGGTCTTTTTTCCTTTAAATCTTTTTTAAAAAGGAAATAACTATTGATTCACGTGGACTTTTGACCTACTATCAAAGACACTGATAACCAAGGTGGCTGCCAAGGGCTCATCAGGTTAACATTATCCAGGTGATCCTCCTGCTCTAGGTAAGGAGACATCACAGTGGACAGAGGGCAAAGTAAGGGGGACCAAGTAGGGCAGTCAGGGACCCTGGCTGTAATTTACTAGCAAAGTGGCTGTACAAGTCCCTGGCTTCTCTGACCTCAGTTTTCCCTCTAGGAAAGAATGGACTTATGCTGTTTCTCACCCAGGGCTGTCATGAGATATGTGCCTGAAAAGGGCCTTTCAAAGCCAAACTGAAAGCGTTTATCATGTATGAGGTGGTCTGACAAGGGAATCCCCAGTGCCACCTCATGCATTTATACTTCAGCCAAGATGTCGTGGACTGTACTAGCACTGTGACTGGACCAGAAATGAATTGACATTAAGTGTCAGCACACACCCAGCAAGGAGCAGCAATAATGAGCCAGGATGGGACACAAGGAGCTCATAAAAGGAGAGTATTAAATGAAGGTAATTCACACACAGGATCATTAACCTCTGACTCATCTCCAAGAGGAGTATCAACTGCATAATGCCACCCTCAGAGGCTCCCCTTGGTCTATGTGAGACTTCTCTTCGACAATGGAAGAAAGCAAATTGTGATGATGCAGGGTTGAGGCATTCCATGTCCACATGTCAGCTTGGGTCCCCTGAGTACCTCTCCCTCCTCCTCTCTGCAGGCCTGGGAAGGGGGAAGAGGAGAGAGGAGGTTCTACTTACATGCTCACATCTTCGATTTTGAGGAATGGTGCCTTTAGTCTGGCCACTGGAAGGGGAAGAAGCACACATTAGCTCTCTGCCTGCCTTAGAGCACAGCCCACACCACACACACAGGAAATGCTCCAAGAGGCAAGGCTCTGCCAAAGCCTAAGAGCCTGTGCCTTTCCATTTGGCAGAGGTGAGCACCCCTCCCATCTCTTCCAGCCTCTCTTGGGGAGAGTGAGTTGCACTAGCGGAGGCTGCAGAGTAACTGCAGCACTAGCTGCGTCCTCCCTCGGCAGGACTTCCTGTGTGCACGTTCTGGAGGCTGTCACCCACCAAGGGTACCACGACCATTAGAAACATGGCTAGTGGAAGAGACCCAGGCCCTGGTGATTTCTGCTAAATACAGAGTTATGGTCCACAAAGTTCCTAGACCTTGGTTCTTGGCATCTCAGAATCCTAAGGGACCTGAAAACTCCCCAGGCAGCATTCTTCATGAGGATTATGGGAGGGAGAAAGGGGAAGAGGGATAAAGTGTGTTCAGTGATCTCAAGTTCCTGAAAAAAAATAGGGGGAAAGGGGTGCTGATAAGACAAATTCCGAGTCAGGTGACCCACCCCTCTCCTCTGTTATGCTAGTTATTGCACAACTTACAAAATCAGTTGGGCACTATGAACCTCTCTATCTTCCCACCGTGACTAGGAGTCCTGTCGGAGGTGTAGTCTAGGCAGGCTGGAAGCCCAGGAAGACCTAACAGCCAGATTCCCTCGGGAGGCCGGTACCTCAGAATTCCTAACCCCTCTGGAAGCCATCCTAGCACCTAAGCAAAGCAGCCTTTTCTCCTTGGGCTGCAGCTCCCATTAATTACTTTCTGGGGACAATTTCTTGTCTTTCTAATTAACAGACAATGATTAAAACCAATTCCCCCACAGACTTCCTTGATTTTCGAGCATGAGGAAGCGCCAAGTGACTTTTCTTAGCTCCTTCTTGTTCAGGAATAAATGCCACTTAAAGAGCATCTTTGGGAGAAACATCCAGGGGGAGAAACTCTCCTGCTGTCCAAGAGAAGCCAGGAGACACAGTCCATCAATCTGCCTGTTTGTCAGTTTTGGGGAGTTTGGCATTTCTGAAAACGGTAGGCAGCTGTCAAACTGCCCACCCCAAACTGCTACTAAATCAGGAGAAGGATGCTGAACTTCAGTCAATGCCCAGGAACAGCCGGAGGATATAGAAGCCAAAGGGCCTGCATGGGGTCCCAGCTCTCAAGAAGCCCTAGCCCAGTAGCTCTGCATTTGCACCTGGGCATACCTCTTTCGCCCCAGAAATCTGAGGCCCAGGCCCTGGAAACATGAGGGGGCAACACAACCTGGACTTGCTTCCTGCCACAGAGAAGTGAACAGATGCTGCCTCAGAGGGAGTCGTGGGGAAGTGTTTATAGAAGGAGGGATTGCAATTAGATGAGGAAAAGCTACCATACTGACCTTTCCGTGTTCTTGACTCCACTCCTGGACGTGTTCCCTAAATGGAAAGGGAAAATAGGTTAAGGATGTGAGGGAGCCACGGGGGTCGAGGAACTGGGACTGGTACGCTGAGTTACTCAGTCTGTCCCACTTTGCTTCCTGCTGTTGAGAGGCCTGCAGAACCAGACTCCTAGGCTGTGAGCTACAGCAGACAGGGGCACAGTGGCTCCCCCTGCCTCTCAGGGCCATGATGAATGGAGAGTCCTCTCTGTGAATCTCAATGGCGGCTGGCTCTTTGAGGAAAAGATGCAGGACTGTGTAGAGAAAAGAATTTTGGAGTCCCTCAGGCCTGGGTAGGAACTGGAGCTGCACCGCCAGTACTGTGAGGGCCATTTTCCAACCTCACAGGATGTGGCACAGATGAAACTAAAGCAAGTGAAAGCGCCAACTTAGAGGAGATGCTCACTAAAGGGCAGCTTTTATTTTCTAGGCACAGCTGCCATTTCAGGTCACCTAACAGAATGAGGACACTTGGTTTCCAGTGGCCACCTTGTGTACCCTTATTCTGTGGGCCAAAACTAACATTTAAACCGAGGTCAAATAAAACTGATATTAAAAGCTAAATGGAGGGACAGGGTTGTAGCTCACTGGTAGAACAGTGAGGTACAACCCCAGTTGTGATGCCTAGGTAAGGAGACATCACAGTGGACAGAGGGCAAAGTAAGGGGGACCAAGTAGGGCAGTCAGAGACCCTGGCTTCTACATGCCTGGCATGTATAAAGCACTGAGTTTAATCCTCAACACCACATAAAGATAAACAAATAAAGGTATTTTATCCATCTACAACTAAAAAAATTACAATAAAAACAAACAAACAAACAAAAATCTTAAATGGAATAAAATAATCAGCTAAAGAGCTGGGGAAGGGAACCAGAATGAGAGATCCAGTTGGTCCATGACTGCCTGTGCTTCTGAGCCCAGGGTGGTTCCAGATACTCCTCTAGGCCACACTTTGAGGGCAAACACAAGCCAAAGAAGTCCAGCATATTCCCTTGCATATCAGCAGATTATGTAGAAATCTTATTACAAAAAACTCCAAAATATCTACAAAATAGGTTATTAAGTCAAAGCAAAGTTAAAAAGCATTTGTATAAAGGGGGGAATTTTTGATAAACTGGCTTATATGTGCAGAGTCCTAGAAGGACACAGAAAAACTGCTTCCACTGTTGCCAGGGAGGGAGGTCATCGGCTGGGGAGTAGAAGCAGGAGGACTTCACTGCATTATCTTTTTGAATTTTGAACAAAAATATATCTAGCAAAGGAAAGCCCCCCAATTCCAGCCATTTTGGATGTGGTTTGCTACAACTATTAGTTCTGCTCCTAGACGCCAGGCCATGCAAATAGATCTGCAGGTTTGATCCTTAGATTTAGGCTTGGGTGAAGACATGGCAGCTTTAAATGAGCCTGGGCTCTCTTGATGGGGTACCCAGAGTTCTAACCCTGATAAAGAAAGGAAAAATTAAACACAGAATTGGAAGATAGCTGCTATTTCATGATACAACTCCCTCCCCAGTCCATCCAGTTGTGGGCTCATTCCCAGGCCAAGAACTGTTCCTACAATGACAGCCTTGCCAGGAGGTCAAGAGCATTTGGGAATTTCTATTTAGGTCAGGATGACCAGGTGCAGTCCTTGGCCCAGGGTTGCAGTGAATGCCTTAGTGGTGTAAGTATGACATGGGACAGCCACAGAGTGAGAGAAAGGGCAATGTAAAGCTGTGGACATACAGAATAAGGTGACAGAGGAGCTGCACTCCTATTACATTTTTCAGAATGGCCAGGAAACAATGGCTTAGGGGGTCAGGGATTTACCAAGTTGTCAGAGTCCACTGAAAACCACCCGTGGGTTTGACCTACCTCCTGCTGCTTCGGTTCTTGTTTCTTTACACATGAAGGACCATGGGACAGCTGCTGCACGTGCATCATCATTTCTGTAGAGAAGACAAAGGGCCATAGCAGAGGTGTAAACTTCTTAGTTATCCCTCATGGTCCTTTTCTGGGCTGGAGGACTAACTTGGTCACCTGGCCTAGTCAGCTAGATCATGCCATCCTTGTCTGCCACCTTCTGGCTACAAGTTACCTCTGCACCTCCTGACAACAGAGGTAAGGGCTGGGTCCTCTATGGCAGGAACCACCTAAACTGGCTTCATGTTTTTTTGTAGCTTTGCATATAATTCAGTTTTGGACTGCAGTGCCTTATGGCTCAAAGACTGTAAAGAGAGGCATCTGTGGGGAAAACCCAGAACTTTTAGCTATGCAGGTGTATCCTCAGGTAGAAAACCCAGCAGGGGCTAAGGAGGCAGGAGCTTCCCTAGCACCACGAAAGGCAGAAAATGAGATCAAGTCAGGCAAGGATGATATTGCAGTGGGATGGAGTCCCTGCTTCCACCCCAGACCAGGAACATCCCCTGCACAGCCCTTTGATTCCCTTGAAAAATCTTGGTAGCACCTAGTTGGCACCTGGAGACTGTCCTATCTAGATCAACTCCTCTATAATGGATCAGGGAAAATCCCAGACTCAGAGTGGAGCTGAGCAGGAGATCAGACTCCATAAGCCAATTATGGAACACTATTCTATTATAGACTTACCACAAGAGCAAATCGGTCATTTATAGTGTGAGGCAACCATATGGAAAAAAGAACACAGCATTTACTGTCAGACCAAACTAGGTCAGAACATGGGCCACGCTGCTCATTTTGGTGAGACTGTGGACAGCTTGCCTAATCCCTCTGAGGTGCACACTCTGCTGTATGCTATCCTGCTTGCCCCACACCCTCCCACTTTCGTGGAACAACATAGAAACTGAGTACGTCTGGCTTCCAATACTGGAAGCTTATGCAGCCCTGATCCCTCTAAAAGCCGACTTTCCTAAAGTCATCAATGCTTCCCTCCACAGGTGCCCAGTGGGGATCAGTACCGTCCACATGCAGGACCCTTACTCCCCAGGAGCGGGCATTGGTCAGGAGGCTGCTGCTGTTCCCACTGCCTCTTCCGCTGCTGCTCCCCTGAAATGACAGAGTAGAAACACCACAAGGACAAAGCATGATGGGACAGGTTGACATTACTGTGGGAGCCCTGGGTCACCCAAGGGGGGATTTGGAGGGAGGCAGGGGAGAGAGCACAGTGCCTGGAGGGTCCATCCTACCCCCAAGGAAGATACCCTGTCCTCCATTCTGGGTGGCCAATCTAGGAGGACACACACTGAATGTGCCCACATGTTCTGCTCTAGCCACCTCGTGACCATGAAGGAGCATGTGTTTCTAAGAGCCGGAAGCTATGCTGGTTCAGTCTGGTAGCACAGTCTCCCTCATTCTGGCCAAGGTTCCCAACGTTTTTTGTCTTGAGATGAGGTCTCATTTTGTTGCCCAAGCTGGCTGGCATCAAACTGGGTTAAGCAATCCTTCGGCCTCAGTCTCCCAAGTCATTAGACTACAGTCATGTCACCATGCCTACTCGTACCCATCTTTTTTTTCTTTCTCTTTTCTTTTTGCTATTTGATACTAGGAATGGAACCTAGGGTTGCTTTACCAAGGAGCTATATCCCCAGTCCTATTTATTTGAAACAGAGTCTTGCTAAGTTGCTGAGGTGGAACTCAAACTTGCTATCCTCCCAAGTTGCTGGGATTAAAGGCATGGCCACCATGCCTGGCCCAACTCACCTGCTTTGTGATGGCCTTCTGCAGAAGCTCCTTCCCTCTGCTCATAGGCACCTGACAGAAAGAAAACAAAATATGTAGACCACAAAACATATACACAGATATTTACACATAAGCTGGTGGTAGTGTCTTAAATGTCCCTTGGAAAGTTTGGAGCAGTATCAGCTGAGGATAGGCAGAAATGAGAGTTTAGAGAACCTTTAGGAGGTAAAGATAAACCCATCTGTAAGTTTAGATCACGCAGAGATAGCTACACCATTGGCAGCCTGAACCATAATGGAGAAGGACATTCTGAAAATACGCAAGGTCAAACTGTCATAGATGTTCTCAGACCTTTCTTTAAGAGTCTCTGAACTCTCTAGCAGATAATGTTAGCAAGTGTTTCATTTTATAAAATCTTTTCTTTGCTTCTTGGAAGACTCGTCCCTCATCATGAACATCATGAACAGGGTATATTCATGGACATCTTAATCTTAGCCTAAATAAACAAAAACAAACATGCAAGTCCAGGGGTAAAAAGCCATGGTGCATATATCAAAGAGATGGCATGTGTATTGTCCCAACTGTTGGTGGTTCATACATGAGAACAATGGAAAAGGGAACTGCTGCATCCTGGGTGTACTCCTGCCCAAGCCAGGCCAATTCCAACAAGTCTTCTCTGCTTTATAGAGGACTTTCCTCTGGTTTCTGAACTTGCAACTCTGAAGTCCTCATAAAGAATGACATAGAGCACAGAGGGATAGCATGAGGATGGAGCATTGCTGAGGTGTTTAGATTCAGAACGGTGATAAAATATTATCAGTCTCTGAATTCAAATGAAATTAAATTAAACCAGCTAAAACTCAAACTAGAGCCTACCTAAAAGGGTTTACCAACGCCTACTTGCTTTGTTTATGGACCACGTCTTCCCTATCCCATGAGGTTCTTACCGAGTGCACAGGTTTCTGTGAAGGCCTGGCATGGTTGCCTTTGGGACTGGCTACAGAGGATGTTTCCACTTTGACCTCGCTGGGGCTGGGGCAGCCTCTGTGGCCTGAGTCACCACTTTCTGCCTTTGCTTCTCTGCGGCTGGACACGATGTAACTTACTTCTTTGCTCAGAAAACCCTCAATTACCTGAAACCAGATCATAGAAGTGGCTGAAAACCAAAAAGCAGATGTAGAATTGTCAATATCAAGAAGCTGGAAAAGGAAATCTTGGCTGCCAGAAGTTCCAGAATCAATGTCTTTAAATAGACTAAATGCACCTCTGCAACGAGTCCCCAAGAAAACATCATTATGAAATAAAATATATATATTATATATCCCTCCAGGAACTGCTGTTCCTGACCCAGGCCACAGGCTTTGAGTTCTTTCACTGGTCTGAGTTTGCACACACACACTGGAGGTGCTGTGCAAGAAAAGAGTAGCTTGGTTTAGCCATGATTTTTCTGTGTAAGACACACTGGGGCATCCAAATGCTGCTGTTTTCTTGACCATAATACAAAAAGGAGCATAAAAAGTGAGACAAAAAAGGGTTTGACTGACACTCAGCTATAATATAGGTGTCTGCTCACTTTAACCAGACTACAAACCTCTTGTGAGCACTGAGAAGTTCTGACTTATCTTGGTATCCCAGGAACTCAGCACAGTACCTGAAGCATACTGACACTTAACTTGCCTTTGTGGGAACACAACAGAAATAAACACTGAACGGGCAGATACTTAGACCAACACTCTGGGGAATAAAGAAAATTGCTCTGTATATTTGTTGATTTCTGGGCTAATCACTATGGCAAATTTCGAGCTATCAACAAAACACCTACAAATGAGGAGCTGGGAAGAGATAAAGTTTGGAACCACTGTGATGGTTACACAACAGTATAAGGGTAATGATGCCAATGAACTCTATACACTTCAAAATGGCTTAAATGGCGAAGAATGGTGGCATACACCTGTAATCCCAGTGTCATGAGAGGCTGCAGGATCACAAGTTCAAGGCCAATCTTGTCAACTTAAGAGATCCTTTCTCAAAATCAAAACAATGCGGGGGTGGATGTGGGGGATGAAAGAAATGTAATAGTGGTAGAGTGCTTCTGGTTATAATCCCCAGTAAAAACAAAACAAAACCAAAACGGTTAAAAATGGCATTTTTAAAAAATTTGTGGGCTGGAGTTGTGGCTCAGTGGTACAGTGCTTGCCTACCATGAGTGAGGCACTGGGTTTGATCCTCAGCACCACATAAATGTACAATAAAGATATTGTGTCCACCTAAAAAAACTTTAAAAAAAAATTGTTTTGTGGTTGTAGCTGGACTGCATGCATTTATTTTTTTAGTTTTTTATGTGGTGCTGAGGATTGACCCCAGTGCCTCACACATGCTAGGGAAGTGCTCTGCCATTGGGCTACAGCCCCAGCCCTAAAATGGCATTTTTAAAAAATACATATTCCACAATTTTAAAATCTTTATAGTTTGAAAGAGTACATCTATCTTCCTCGTTATGGCAAAAAGAAGCATTGGAGGGTAGGAGCACAGCAATGTTTATCTTCCATGAATTCCTCCTACCTCAGCATACACATTACTTTGAATGTGACTTTGTTGTTCCTTCCATTAGGAGGTGGAGGCTACTCTTTTTTTTTTTTTGGTATGGGGGAATGAGCCCAGGTGTGCTTAACCACTGAACCACATCTCTAGGCTTTTTAATTTTTTATTTACAGACATGATCTCGCCAAGTTGTTTAGGGTCTCATAAGATTGCTGAGGCTGGCTTTGAACTCATGATCCTCCTGCCTCAGCCTCCGGAGCTGCTGGGATTATAGGTATGCACCACTGTGCCCAACTGGAGCCTACTTTTTAATCTCTTAAATCTGACACATTGACCAATAGAATGTGGCTAATGTAATATATAAAAATTTTAGAATGCAGGCTTTGAGAGGCCTTGCAGCCCCCCACTTCACTTTCTGGGAAGGGTGCCATGTATCCACTGTGTAAATCAGCTAGTCTAGCTTTCTATAAATACACACAATGATATAGATGTGTTCAATGTAAGTAAGAAGGTAAGAAGTTTCTCATACATTGTACAAGAAGTTAGAGAGTGCCAGATGTGTGATGGAGGCCACTTTGGTCCTTCCAGCCCAGCTGAACCTCCAGCTGAATGCAGCTACAGGAATGAGCCCCAATAAAACCATTAAACTACGAAGCCATCCACATAACAATGCAAATACTAACATACTGGTTTTTTGTGTGTGTGTGTTTGTTTGTTTTTGTGGTGCTGGAGATTGAACTCAGGGCCTTGTACTTATGAGGCAACTTTACCAACTGAGCTGTACCTCCAGCCCCTAAAGTATTGTTTTTAAGCCCAAGTTCTGACGTGGTCTTTTATACAGCAGAAGCTAAATGACAAAAGAGACTAAAGTTCATGCCTTTTTTTTTTTTTTGGTACTGGTGATTGAACCCAGGGCACTTAACACTGAGCCACATCCCCAGCCCTTTTTTGTATTTTATTCAGAGACAGGGTCTCACCGAGTTGCTCAAGGCCTTGCTAAGTTGCCGAGGTTGGCTTTGAACTCGCGATCCTCCTGCCTCAGCCTACCAAACCACTGGGATTGTAGGTGTGTGCCACCATTCCCAGCCTAAAAGTTCAAAATATAATTATGGGCCAGTTTAGGCATAATCCTTATTCTATTATCTGCACTGAGTTTCTGTATTGCTAAGTTACTGGTTTGTTTGATAGCAAAGAGCCTCCGCATTTGAAACATATTCATGCAGTTTCCCCAGTTATCATTTTCTTTTGGGTTGAGCATTATCACACTATTTCCTAGACATAAGAGATACCTAGTGTCAATCTATTACTAAAATTACCATATGATATATACTTTTAAGATATTTTAATAGATTCAACCAAAATCATTCACCAGTGTCATTTCTAAGAGCTCAAAATTAGAAATAATCTAAATGTTTATTAGGTAGCTATTAAATAAATCAGCAATCCACTCAAAAATATTATACTGTAGGCCGTGCACAGTGGTGTAAACCTATAACCCCAATGACTCAGGAGACTGAGGCAGGAGGATTGTGAATTCAAAGCCAGTCTCAGCAATGGTGAGGTGCTAAGCAACTCAGTGAGACCCTGCTTCTAAATAAAATAGAAAATAGGGCTGGGGATGTGACTCATTGGTCAAGTGCCCTGAGTTCAATCCCTGGTAACCCCCGCAAAAAAAAAAACCCAAAATTATACTGTATAACATTTCAAATAATGTGTACTTAGGCAATAAAGACAGGAAAATGCCAATGCTTTAAGGTTATGGATAAAAAGTTGGTAATCAAAAATATAATCGGGGCTGGTGTTGTGGCTTAGTGGTGAGCCTAGCACAGGTTAGGCACTGGGTTTGATCCTCAGCACCACATTATATATATATATATATAATCATAGCTGCTAGTACATGCCTATAATCCCAGCAACTTGGGAGGCTGAGGCAGAAGAATCACAAGTTTGAAGTCAGCCTCAGCATCTTAGCAAGGCCATAAGCCACTGAGTGAGACCCTGTCTCAAAAATTAAAAATAAAAAGGGCAGGGGATGTTGCTCACTGGTTAAGTGCCATGGGTTCAATCTCGGTACCCAAAAACAACCAAAACAAATCAAAATACACACACACACACACACACACACACACACACAATCATGATCACAGCTATATAGAAAATGAGCTTAAGAAAACAAAGGCAGAACAAGGACAGAAAGTAGACGAGTGTTTACCCAGGGCCAGGGACCAGGGGTATGCAGAGAGACTGATAATAAATGTGGGGCTTCTTTTTTATTTTACTTATTTATTTTTTAGTTATAAGTGGACACATATCTTTATTTTATTTTATGAGGATCAAACCCATTCCCTTACGCATGCTAGGCGAGTGCTCTACCTCTGAGCCACAACCCCAGCCCCGGGGCTTCTCTTTTGGGGTGATGAAAATGTCCTAAAATTGACTATGGGATCACATGATTTGAACACCCCTGTGAATACAGTTGTCCCCAAGTATCTATGGGGAGTTGGTACCAAGACCCTTGATGTAAAATAGCATAGTCTTTGCATATGACTTACGCAGATACTTCCATATACTTTAAATTATCTCTAGGTTATTTGTAATACCTAATGTATTGTAAATGCCACATAGTTGTCAGTATATTGTTTAGGGAATAATGGCAAAAGAAAGGTTTGCATAGACACAATTTTTAAAAAATATCAATGTGCAGTTGGTTGAATCCATGGATGAGGAGCTCATGAATATGGAGGACTGACATACCAAAAACCACTAAACCAAAGCCGGGCGTGGTGGCACATGCTTGTAATCCCAGCAGATTACAGCCACTCAGTGAGACCCTGTCTCTAAATAAAATACAGAATAGGGCTGGGGATGTGGCTCAGGCTGAGTGCCCCTGAGTTCAATCACTGGTACCAAAAAACAAAACAAAACAAAACCCCCACTAAGCTGTGCCCATTTTTATTTTTAGTACCCTGAGGTGCCAAAACCACTGAGCCACATCCCTAATTCTTTTTATTTTTTATTTCGAGACAGAGTTTCACTAAGTTATGTAGGGACTTGCTAAATTGTTCAGGCTGACCTTGAATTTGTAATCCTTCTGCCTCAGGCTCCCGAGTCACTGGGATTATAGGCATGCACCCAGCGAAACTGTGTACTTCAAATGAGTGAATTTTATGGTATGTGAATTATTTCTTAAGAAAGCCTTTAAGGGAGGAAGAGAGAAGGGAAGAATAAAAATCCCTCACCAGCTCCTGACTAGTCACCCACAAAAGATCACGGGATCACCGGAGAGAAACGGCTTACGTACCCCACCCAGCTGCTGGATGGCTCCCGTCAAAAGCTGGAGATTCTTGCCAGCAGGCAGATCCAAGTAAAAGGACTTTCCAGAAAATGGCTGTTTCCTAGCACCTCGTGAGCTTTTCTGGTATTTTCCCAGACAACTGGAGATGCCCAGCCGAGCCCCTAAAAAAACAACAAAGAGGAGCACAGTAAGAAGTTTGGGGTAAGAAAGAGTTCC